ATACTCCTCCTGTAGAGGGACAGGCCCGACTTCAGCCTCCGCACCCCTCTGACCCCTCCTCGTCCGGCCTCCTGCCCCCTTGAAAGCGGCCCCCTCCTCGTCCGCCCCCCTCGTCCGCCCCCCTCGTCTGCCCTTCCCCCTCGCCTGTCCCCCGACCCCACCCCGTCTGCACCCCTCGCCGGAAGCTTCCTCGCCGACTGGTCTCGGCGCCTCGGACTTCCAGCGGCCACCACCCCTCGTGACATGGGCGAGCAGGCTTCCACGGAGGGCCCTCGCCGTGCACATTCGCCCAAAGGAGGTCCCAAAGAATCGCAGGAATGGAGGGTGGCTCCGTCTCAGAAGGAAGGATTGGCTTGAGACGTCCTAATCCTTGATGGCCGGAAGCGCACACATGTGCAATGGCTTCACTGATGGAGAGCGGTCCCTTGTCAAAGCGGGGCTCATGCCATCTGGACACGTCGTGCTCCACCTACACGTTGGCAAAGCTTGCAGTTAAAAGGATAGAAGATAAAGGGCCACTCCTGCTCAATATGGGGATTCGTATGCATGCCATGCCGATTGATCGGTCGTGCTTCAAGGGAACATTATGTGCAGTGGGAAAGGAATGCTTGAAGCGGCGTATGAGGATGAAGCTCTTGGGACGGGGCATTGTTGATGCATCCCAGGTTCACTGTGGTCACTGTCCTCCTCATACTCCTCATCACCATCGCCACCAATACCATCGCCAACTTCACCAACACCGCCACTACCACTATCATCATGGTCATCCTCATCCTCCTCCTCATCAGCATCGTCATCATGACTATCAGCATCATCATCATCATCATCATCATCATCATCAGCAGCAGCAGCAGCAGCAGCAGCAGCAGAATCATCATGATCATTGTCATGATCATCATCATGGTCATCATCATCGACATCGTCGTCATGGTCATTATCATCATCGTCATCATCGCACTCGTCAACACCATCATCATCATCATCATCATCATCATCATCATCATCATCATCATCATCATCAGCATCAGCATCAGCATCAGCATCATCATCTTCATCGTCATCACCACCATTACCATCATCATCATCACCATCATCATCATCAGCATCATCATCATCATCATCATATCATGATGGTCGTCATCATCATCAGCATCATCAGGATCAGTATCATCATCGTAAGAAGCCTCCTCATCATCATCATCCGCATCATCATCATCATCATCATCATCATCATCATCATCATCATCATCGTTAGCATCATCATCGTCGTCGTCAACATCATGGACGTCATCATCATCACCAGCATCATGATACGTCCTAAGCATCATCATCATTATCATCCTCGTCCCCATCCCAATCATGATCAGCATCATCCTCATGATCAGCACCAACACCACCATCAGCAGCATCATCAGTATCACCATCACCACCATCATTACCAGGTTACCCACTCTCGTCGCATCATCATCATCATCATCATCATCATCAGCAGCAGCAGCATCATCAGCATCATCAGCATCACCATCATCATCATGATCAGCATCATCATAAGCATCAGCATCACCTTCATCACGCTCACTGATCATCACCATCCACAGTCATCATCATCATCGTCAACATCAGCAGCATCAGTATGCGTGCCCACACCTCGCGTTCTCCTTCATGCTGTCGTATAAGAATCATCAGCATGTACATCAGCATCATCAGCATCAGCATCATCATCATCATCATCCGCATATTCAGCATCATCATCAGCATCACCAGCGTCAGATTCATCATCACCATCATCACCATCTCCAGCATCACCAAGTTCACCACCAGCGTTGCATCAGCGTCCTCGTCATCATGATGATCATTATCAGCATCATCATGATCAACATCATCATCATCAGTTTCATCATCATCGTCATCATCACACTCACGGACCATCACCATTGATGGTCATCATCATCACCATCAACAACAGCATCAACATGATCATCACCAACAGCATAATCAGCACCACGTCATCATCATCAGCATCCTCATCGTCATCAGCATCATCGTCATCATCCTCATCCTTATCCTCGTCATCATGCGAAAAAATCATGATCATCCTCACCAGCATCATCAACAGCATCAAATTAAGCATCAGCATAATCATCAGCAGTATCATCATAAGCATCATCGTCACCATCAGTTTCATCAACAGCATCAGCAGCATCATCAACATCATCTCAACAACACCATCATCAGCATCATCATCCTGACCATCATCTTCATCATCAGAATTAGCAGCGCCATTATCACCATCACCATCTTCAACACAACCCGCGTAATCAAAATAAGCATCAGCATCAGCACCATCATCATAATATCATAATCATCATCATCAGCATCATCATGTTCATCGGCATCATCATCATCATCATCATCATCATCATCATCATCATCATCCCTGCTCGTTACTCCTCCTCCTCCTCCTCCCTCCCTCCCTCTCCCTCCCTCCCCCCCCCTCCACCCCTTCCTTTCCTCCTCCTCCTTTTCCTCAATTTCCATCTCCACCTCCTCCTCCGCCTCCATGATCATCTTCCCTCTCCTCATCCCTGAAACTTCAAATCCCCAAGGCACCTCCAAACCCCCTCGCAGAGCAACCCAAGCCTCAATAGGACCCACCCACCCCTCTCCACAATTACTCAATATGAATACTACCTTCCCTCTTCCCCTGATGACGGTTTGAAAGTGGCCGACCCCCCCCCCCGCGTATTGTTTTTTTACACACAGGTTTCCCTGGAGTTGGGCTTTCGCCTGCATTTGTTTTCAAAATGCTGCTCTCGCTGAGGCGCCGGCCTCATTTTCGGGCCCCGCTCGTTCCGAATCTTGCTCCCGCTGCAGCGCTGGCCTCATTTCCGTGCTTCCGCTGGTTCCGAATCGTGCTCCCGCTGCAGCCTGGCCTCATTTCCGCGCTTCCGCTCGTTTCGACTCGTGCTCCCGCTGCAGCGCTGGCGTCATTTCCCGTGCCATGCCACGGCATGCAATGCAATGCTAGGTTGATACTACGCTTTGCGGTGCTCTTCTACGCCATGCCACGCCGTGCTCTACAATGCATCGCGTACCCTTTCGGGATCGTTGCCCTGCTCGACATCCGACTGAGCGAGTAGAGAGGGGATCTGCGCCATGGTGAGGGATGGGAGGGAGGGGTAGGATGTCAGATATGACGCGAGCGCACCTAGCTTGTCCTCCCCCCTCCCCCCTCCCCTACTTCGTCCTCCGCCACCCCCCCCCCCCACCCTCCTCGACCTCGTCCTCCCCTTCCTCCCCTGCGCGAGCGAGGGCAGGGCCACTCCAGCTTGGACTCGGACCAGCCCTGCTCGCGCTGGGCGTAGCCAGCCTGCAATCCCGGGCCGCGCGCCCGC